TATATATATTCCTTTCCAAATAGAATATAATTAAGCGTGTCCCAAAGTAAAATGTTTATATCTTGAAGGATTTCTAAGAAATTGCCATCTATTCAGAAGGTAATATTGTCCCCTTTTTGGTAGTGCAATTGAAATAAATTCAAATCCATATTGCAAAAATTTTAGCATTTTTAAAGTCATGGTTTTGTTTAAATATAATATATTTTATAGTTTAACTAAATTCACACATTTGAAGTGACTATGCTTCGAGAATTAGGATAATATTTACTTTTATAAATGTTACTTTCATAAATAAAATAATGCACAATATCTTCCGTCCTTCTTGTTTTAGAAATTTTTTACTCATAAGATTTTTTTTCAAAAACCATTAATATACTGTTTAGAGCAAATAAGACTATAATTTTTAAACAAAAATAATTAATTAAGTTATTTCTTTGGAGTAGTAAATTAATTCATTTTGAGGTAACAATTTAATTCAAATTTTCTTCTTTCTTCACAAAGATGTACTAGGAACAGACAAATAACTATATTGAAATGTTCAAATGCACAAAAACTTAAATGCTTTTGCTATTTAAATAAGTCATATATTGGAAGAAATATTGAATATATGAGTATATAAGTTATAAAATAAAACTATTAACATAAGAAACAGTAAAATGAATTATTCTACAATAAATAACTATTAAAAAGTTAATTATTTTCATAAAGAATCTCCTCAAGCCTTTAAATTCATATTTTATACTGTTATTGATATTATGCTGTTTTGAATCCTTTATTTTACATTCTTTGTATCCTGTTTTCAGGTTTTGAATGTAAACAAAATATGAATGCAATATACAAATGTACAATATAAACATTTTATATAAGTGTTAACAAATACCAAAGTCTATAAATGTACAATCTGTCATTATAAAATTTCAAACATATGGTAACATATTTTCAACAAATGTTTGGCCAACAATAATTGCTCAGTAAGATGCCTACATAACAGTATTAAATTCATTTATCTTTATTTGCATTCTTTTGTTAAACTACACAGATTATTTGGTATATCTAACAAATCTATTCAAAATCAAAATGAAAACTGCTCCTGAAAAATTTGTAGTAAATATCAATTTTATATAGTAAGTATGGCTTATGATTTTATTATAATTTGATATGTATCAAATTAATGGAATCAAAATGCAATAGTCTAATTTTTACGGTATATTTTTATAATTTCAGTCAAATAGTTGTATAGTTATACTATACGTTGATAATTGTTTAATTCCGATGCTGATAAATTGATGAATATTACTATATTGAAAAGAAATTTAAGAACGAAAATTTTACCATTGCTGTATAGAAGAAAAATACAAATTATCAATAAATACTCATTATTGATTTTAAAATGAATCTTGATTTTTAAATGTGTACCTTGAAATTAAAATTTACATTTAGTTGATAAATATAATTTACAAATTCAGAAATTTGTTGGCTCTTAATTTATCCAGTTATGATTTTCAAAGCTTGAGTAAAAATTTTGAATATGTTAACTCATTAAAACAATTTGTTAAACTATTTATTTCAAAGCGAAACACTGTAATTAAAATATTGTGCTTTCTAAACAAAACTAATTAAAAGTGAAATAAATATATGGAGAATAAATTAGTAAACCAAACAATAATGTTTAATTGTTTTGTTCAATATCCAATCAAGCTTTTTTTAGAACATTAAAATAACACAAAGTGTAAAAATACAATTCCTTGTATTATGAGATTTTGTTATGACATTCTCTTGCTATATTTATGATTTAAGTGTTATTCATGAGACATTTAATAGAAGTTTTTATTATAGTGAGATTTAAAAAGTATTATAACAAGTATAACACCACGGTACTTTTAGTTTCAAGAAGCTAAGAAGCAAATTATGTTTTTAAAACATTTTAAACAAAGGAAAAAATATATAGAATGAAAAACTACCTAAAATTTATCCTTCAAACAGCAAAAAAAAAAAAAAAAAAAAAAAAAAAAAAAAAAAAAAAAAAAAGCTCTCTCTAATAGTTTGTAAATCAAAGTAAGTTTAATAATCTCTAAATTACTAAGCATAAATATTTGTTAGTGTCTAATCAACGGATTAGCAATTAGCAATGGTATTTCAATAGTCACCACCATCAGAAAAAACACAACATTCCAAAGAAGCTTTGACTACTTTTTGCTCGTTAAATATCGAGAATATTTAAGTACAAATTTATACGTTTCATACCTTTAATTCACAAACTCCAAATTTTTAGTTAATTAAGTCAATACCCATATTTTTAAGCATAATTCCTTCCATGATTTATTTAATTTAATGACAATCTTTCCATTTTGGTTTTGTCTATATTTTTAAACTCACTGTTGTTTCTTGTAAGTGGTTTCTAACTTTTAGTTCTATTTGAACAAAAAAATATTTTATTGCTCACATTTAAATATTTAATTATTTTATATTCCCTGTGTCAGATAAATGCAATAAAGAGCATTACGTGGTAGCACGTGTGGGCCACTTCACCAAATTTATACTGAGTTGTCTGATACCACGCCCCCTTTTTCTTTCAATTCCTAATATTATTTTACACTCTCACTATATATATTTATATATCTTTTTCAAATTTTCAATCGTTAATAAAATACACTCAATTTCAAATGCATTTTTGTTAAACTTCTAGCGAATGACATTTGATGTTAATACAATTTTTTCAAATATTAATTCATCAATTAAATTTAATAAATTAATTTTAGCTTTATATGATTGAAAATTTTTTAATTATTTAATAAAAAGTAACTAAAATAAATTTTTTCTTTGTTGACCTGAGTAGGAATTGAATTTTTTTTTATGTTGCTTTTTTTAAATTCATTGTTGTTTCTTGTATGTGGTAACAAAAGCTACCAACGTGTTTTTAACAAACTGACTTCTGTTAACTCAAGGATCAAATTAAGAAGGTGAGTGCACAAATGGGCGCTTCGATAAGTAACCCTATGAAGAATGAATAATTTTTGATTTTATGGAAATGTTAAAAATATATCAATCATTTTGTCATTCTGTTGATTTAACTTTTCTTCTGTTACTTTTTAAAACATAAATATTCTTTGATCTGACAATAGTTAAAGTGTATTTTAACCTTTTACTTACGGGTGGTACAACGTGTGGACCACTTATGTTGGTACAACATGGTATACCGTAAGCAAAGGGTTAAATATTAAACACTAATTTAGTGGCTTGGTAAATGTTCTTACCTAGATTTATAGCTTTTCATAATATTCTAATTTAAGTATTACTTATGTTTGTTTATGATATTTTTCATCTTTAATTTTTGGGTATGGTTATTACTTTTACTTAATTACCTGATATAACAATTGTAAAAAATAAATAAATTAATCAAGTAAAATAAGAGATACTTTCACCATTCTTTTACTAACAAATATTTTAGCCATTATAAGTATATTTATTTCAATATTTTTTTTTTACCCCATAACCAATTAACACAAGACAAATATTAAATTCTTTACCATTGGTTTAAGTTACATTATACTACATGGTAACTTAAAACCTCCTATTTATTTTAATTTGTCCTAAACTGACAGGTTTTCGTAAACTTTCATGCATGTAAATAGAAATTGTAACTGCTAATTCAAATCTTAAAATAATTATATATTCCAAGTTTTAAAGTAATTTAAGAATAATTAAAGTAACTTAAGTAATCTCATAAATCTTGAATATTAAAGTGCAAAAAGGCACTTTTTATTTTAAATGCGAAAAAAAATTTTTATGCATAAATTGTTAAATTTTATTGTTTAAAGCATTCCGAAGTCTTAAAAGCTTTGCTAATAAAAAAATTTCTTTTTAAAAGAGTAAAGCATGTGAATAACTGTATCCAATAATCTGCTAAAGAAAAAGTAAAAAATATTTAGAACTATTTATAAAATTTTATGTAACCGGAGCGCAAGTTCGTAATAACCTCTTTAATAATCTACAAAAACATGAATAATTTAAGCGAAATACAATGAGTTTTTCATTTATCAGGTATTTTAATACACATAATAATAATTAATAAATAAAATTCTTTAACATGCCTAAAACATAATTAAATAAACGATACAATAAATATTAAAATAGAATTACATACATTAAATAATAAAATAAAATAAAATAAATTAAATATAAAAATAGAATTAATTAAAAACACTCTGAAAGATTTATAATAGAAGAAATTGTTTTACAGTAAAATGAAAAATACTTGACATTGTTAATTATAATTGTATATTTGTTTCCGTCATTACATTTGTTTCACAGTCACAAATAAACAAATAATATTATTGATGCGAATTAGGATAGAGTAATAGGTTTGTATCTAAAATGCATTCAACTATATAAGTATATTTAAATTGATAAATACAAGGAAAAATAACACAATTTTCAAATAAAATGTTAAATTTATAAAAACGGATGCTGCAAAATGTTAATATCATTATGTAGTGCTGATACATATGAGGAAATTGTGTTACTTTAATCATTATTACATATTTTTGCACAAAGACTTTATAAAAATATTATAATTGAATCTTAATACTTTTTTCCTGGTGCTGCGTATTAATAATTAAAAAAATATCATGACAGTCATATAAAAATTAGAATTGTATACGAATTATCATATAAATTTAGAATTGTTATTTAAATTTAGAAAGTAATAAAATATTTGATTTTAAAAGTCCAAATAATTTCTTTAAAGCATAAATATCTTGTGTTGAAAATAGAATGATCCTATTTTTTACATTAAATTTAAAAAACAACGCTTAAAATTTTTTTTCAGAAATTTTTTAGTCTGCGGTATATATTGAGACAATTATGAATACTTTAAATGCATTAATTTAAATATTAATTTTACTTTGTTATTTATACGTATATCAAATACCTTCCGTGAACTTTATGAAATCAATCAAAACTTACTACTTTAATACACTTTGAAAAATGTCAGTATTACTTCAAAATGTTGCCTTTTCAAATTTTGTCTCACAATAGTAAAATACTGACAAATGGATTTTGTGTGTGGTTTGATCAACTTATTTCTGCTACTAAACTTGCAAGACACAATTCTTTAAGAAAATACATTCATTTAAATCACCATCCAGTAATAACCTTGTAGTCAGAGAATATATGGGGCAATACTGAAAGTTCCAATTTCAATCATTGAAGCATATCAGTAAATTTATACCCTCTTTCAATTATACGTGAAATTTTTTAACTCAATCGTGTAAAGTTTGACAGAATATTTAAATTAATTTGTGTTATTAAGTATTAATTTCGTTAAGAAACTTTGGTGTCAAATTAAAATCTCCCATATTTTTCAAAAGTAATTATTCATATCTCCAGGCACTTTCTTGTCTTTGGCGAAATGGAAGACAAGATATTAAGTATTAAAATTCATAACAGTATTTATTTTAATTTATTTTCATTATTTTACTGACAATGAGATGAAGAAATTTGTTTTTGATAGCGAGATTTTCGAAGTGTGCCTAGCACACATAATATTTAATGAAAGGTGATTATGAGATAAATAGTGAAACAAAAAGTAATTGTTTTCTTCTTTAGCGATCAAACATATACTAGTGAGTAGTGCACAGCCAGAAATAGACAAAAAGAATCTAAGGCTTAATGTTGTCCTTATGCCATATTGCATCTCTTTTTAAAGTCTGAGAAACACAATATTTATGGACTTGGATGATTTATGTAAACGTAATATACAAACGAGACTAAATTCTTACTTAAAAAGTATTTTTCTAAATGCTTTACGAAAGTCCCGATTGAAAATTGTGTAAATAATTGGGTTAAGAGCTGAGTTACAGTAACCTAACCAAAAGGCTACAGCAAACCCTGTCGGACCAATGTCACATGCTTTGCAAAGCGCTTCTAGCACATACAATACAAAAAATGGTAACCATGCTAATATGAATGAGGCCATAATGAGACCTAGTATGAGAGTTGCTCTTCTTTCTTTCGCCTTTGCTATTCTTCTTTTTTGCCTTTCGGCTTCGGAAGTAGGTGGCCTTTTTGGAATTTCTTCAGGAGGCATTTTGCCTCTTTTTTTCTTTTTCTTCTTTTTTGAAGTATTAGACCCATCTCCCATATCACTGACATCCTCCTCGGATCTACCCAGATCGGCTAGAGAGAGGGTTGATCCAAAAGGAGATTTCAAAAATTTAGGAGCTTTGAGCAGAGATGTTCTCCTTCCTTGAGTTTCTTTAACAAAAAGGTGGCACTTTTCGGTCGATTCACTAACTTGCTTGTCTATATTAGACGACGAAGACTTGCACAAGCTGTTCGTTTCTGATCGAATGTCCTCCTTAAAAGTTACTCTCTGTACGTCGGCATCAGGAAACCTGATCTGAGGTGTTTGAAAACTCTCCGTTTCCTGCGTATCAGAACACCCATCTGCAGAGTTCTCGATGATTATTTCTGGCGCTTCAACTACAACTACTGGAGATACACCCACTTCAGATCGGGTTCCATTACTTTCAGGTATTTTTGGCAGTTCAGGAATGGGAGAGAATGTTTCAAAGTCTTTTGAACGATCTGGAGGACTTGCATTACTGAAGCTCGTGCACGTGGTCGTTGTCGTAGATTTATCCCTAATGGGATCATTCGTAAGTTCTGTCGCAACGGATGACACTGCTTTCTGTTTCTTTTTTAAGTGCCGCCTGGCTCTTGATCTGGCTGCTACAAATATTTTACAGTAAACAAATACCATGACGAAAGCGGGAACATAAAAGGAACCGAACGCCGAGTATAACACGTAACCAACATCATCGCTCAGCAAGCACTCCGGGTAATTGGAAGGCTTTTCTGGCTTCTTCCAACCGACCAGCGGAGGCAAGGATATGATGGCCGATAGCACCCAGACACCACAAATCATGGCAATCGACCGGCGAGGAGTTCGTTTCCTGAGATACTCGACTGCGTGCGTCACTGACCAATATCTGTCCAAACTTATAAGGCAGAGACTGTTAATAGAGGCCGTGCACAGGAAAACATCGAGAGCGGAATGGATTTCACACCAAATTGTCCCAAAGATCCAATAGCCCATAACTTCTTTGGCCAGCGAGAAAGGCATTACTATCAGGCCGACAAGGAAGTCAGATACGGCTAACGAGGCAATGAACCAATTCTGGACCGTCTTAAGAGCTTTTTCAGTGGCTATGGCAATGCATACCAGCATATTTCCCACCACTATGAGAATCATGATGACTGTCACAAAAAATGACGTCAAAATGATTCTGAGATGGGAATACCCGCTAGGGTACTCAGAGCCATTCCATTCTCCATCGTAGTCATCCCCCCCATTCGGCCACGGATATGAGTCATTCTGGTAAGTTAAATTTAGTTCTTCGGTTCCATTTAAAGATTGCCGAAAAAGATTATAGTCAATGGAAAAAGCGTTGTAAATGCCACTTGCGTTGAAATAAATAGCCGTATAATTATCTTCCATGCTTAATCAAGTAAATGCTGCCTTCGTAAGATTCTGAAAGTCAAATAAGTGTCATGACTTGCATGGTTTGAAGTAGAATAATTTCTTGTTGCAGTTTTAAGTCTCACATTAGGTGACATTGTCTTCAACTGTTGAAATTTTATTGCTATCTTCGAAGCTACGAACTTGATGTTCAGACATAAAGATAATAATGTCTGGTGATCCATTATACATGCCTTTGACCTGCAAAAGATAAAAATAATGTATTAAAAGATATTCAGGAATAATTTATGATTTCGAAATTTGCGCATTTAATGACGTTTAGTTAAAATGTTACTTTTTTATTTTTAAACTATTCTTTTTTTCAGCATATACTGAATGAATTTTCAAAGGGCATATTATTTTTGTTCCTCATATTATGATTTTATTTTTTCATTTTTCGTTGTTAAATTTTTATTTTGAAACTCAACTGTATGACTAAAGAATATTCAAATCATTATATTTAAGTTTCAAAATTAAAATCTGAACTTCACGAAATAGAAGTAACCCGTAAAGGGAACAAAAAAAATTAAGGGTAAAATATAACATCTTTCCCCTATTAACCCTTGGAAGGAACTTAAATGAACAAGTTTATAACAATTCTAACGAAAACATCGATTTTTTTTCATTGTTTTAATGGTCTTTATCGCTCTTTTGATACACTTTTATGCAAAGATTACGTCACTTGATTAAGTTAAGTTCATTTATCATTAACAAACAATGCGTATTTAAAATTTTTTACAAAACTATACATTTAAAAAAGATAATGCTTCGATAAGTTATCAAAATTGTCGAATTACGAGCTCAAAGCTCGGCAAGTTAACATTTCATTTAAAAATCAAAATTTAAAAATAAAACTAACAGTATTCATATCTAAAGTACTTCAACCTCTGCTTGATAATAGAAATATTGAGTAATACCGTTCCTCTTATTGTTTACAAACGTATGAAAAAGCAAAAGAAAAGCTGCAACAAAGATTTCACTCGCTTATCATTCCACATGTTTATCTACGTATGTTCTGTAATAACTGAGCAAGTGCAATTTTCGAAATCTAACTAAAAAATATGCACAGTTAGTTAAAAATATAAGCACATGAACTAGCAAAGATAGCTCACGAAAGGAAAAAAAAATTCTATTATTAAATCTCTCTGATGTTTGCTTCATTATTGTTCAATACATCAACAAAGTAAATTCGCCCACAACAACGAGATCCCTTTGTGTTAGAACACAAAAGGAAACATGAGAAAACATTAGTCTACTTTAAAACCTTCTTGTTTGTTATAATACTTTATCACAGATCATTGTAACAACTTGAAATGCGATCGTCTAGTATAACGAAAAATGATTGGATGTTTTGACTGATGGGTGAACCATAGTACAAAAAAGAAGAAAGCTTCCGAAAGCTTTTTGAAAGTAAGTTTCCTTTCCATTTTTACAAAATCAATTAAATCTTTCAATTTCACAAAGTACTTCGTACTTAAAAATATACGATTCTTTTTTTAAATTCAAAAGTGTTAAACAGGTTATGTAATCTTTAAGATGCATAATGGAGCATGATGCAAAAAAATACCTTTTGATGTTTACAAAACTAAAGAATAGAAAAAAAATCAAGATTAGTATTTTTCTGCTTGTCTTTTTCCGACACACTTTTATATACTTATTGTATATACTAGCTTAATTCGGCCAGTATATACAATATACTTGCTGAACAATTTTTTGTAGCATTTATACAAATCATTGATCATGCGAAATTTGGGATTTCAAGTTTGAAGTTAGTTTTGCTCCTAAAGCTACAGATGACATTTTCAGATCAATTTTTTTGTTGAAATGTACAAGTTTAAAAATGTTGTATATAGCAGACATAATATTGCAGCTAAGTTTTATATGAGTTAGGACACATCACCAGAATTAAAATTTCATAAGAACCTCTGCCTGGAAAGATCGTTTTACGTGACTTGGAGCGTTTTCTTTTTATAACGAATTCAGAAGCACGTGAAGATATAGTTCGAAATAGGGAAGTGTCCCTAGTCGCCTATGTCGGCATGTCCGGTCATAGGTTACTATGTAATTTTAATTCTGATGATGTGCCCTAATTCCCCTAAAAGTGGGACAGACATTTATGTGACCAATGTTATATATAATGTTTTTAAACGTATACATTTCGACTTAAAATTGACTAAAAATGTCAGTTTAAAAAATGAAGAACTGTAGCTTGGAGCTAAAAACCGAATATAGAATTTAAATCAGCTATACGAAAGCATCTAAAATCTGTTAAAAAGTTTCAACCAACAGAAAAAAAAATTCCCCACTGTTTTAGTTTGCAACTTTTCTAAGTATGGTAGAAAATATATACATTGCCGATTTAGATATATGATGTAGTGAGCACTTAGATATCAATTTGCATATTATGTTATAAAATATGTTATATAATACACAACTAAACATCACCAATGATCTGTTGTGTCAAATGACCTGTTTCTCATTCCAATATAATCACTCTTGATACTGTCGAAAGATTGCTGTTGATTTGTTTTAGAAATCACTAGGGCTATATATCGCTTCTATTTCTTTAATTGTGAAAAATTTTCTTCCTTGCGTCAAATGATGACACGGAACCAGCGTTTAATTGCTTGAAGAACAAGACAAATGGCTGCTTTTCCCTATTGTTACAGAAATCGACTACTGCAATACCCTAGATGTACAGTGAGCTAAAATAAACGGACCATCCTGAATAACTTTTGATCTAATGATTGAATCTTCATGTTCTAGGACTCATGTTTGGTGGTTTAAAGGAGTGACCCCAAATATGCTAATTACTTAGGGCAGACAATATTTTAAGATACGAAATCAGATACAAAAATGTACTTTCTCTGATTAAACATTCATTTTTTTTAACAAATTTGGATTTCTGTCCCCCGAAATACATGGGAATAACCTCAATAGTTTGGCCAGTGGTCCCAATATTTTGGCCATAAAAGCAGTTCAAAGCTTGGACTCAATTAAGAAATTCCATTAAACGCATCGCATATTAAAATTTTGATTCTCAGAAACCATTCAACTGATTTAGCTCAAAATTTTCATTTTGCCATGTAAAATTACGTACTTTAAAGAGATATAAAAATTTTATACATTAGAATTCAAAATTTTATTGACTATTATTACACTTAGATAATGTAACAATATATTTCACTTTCATGAAAATTGCAAACTAGAAATCCTATGTCAGGAATAGAAGGGATTGGAACTACAATGTTCAGGAAGCCAAAGCCCACTGCGGGCTGTAGATAAAGAACCTACTTATTACGTTTTAAAAAAATAGATTCCGAACAGTATTAACTCCGAACAGTAATAGATTCCGAACAGTAAGTACTAAGAAGGAATTTAATACGACCAAAAAAGGGTAAATAAAATTTTGTCTCTTGAATCCGATACCACTCTAAAAATTATATGTGCGAGTTTCTGAAGTTTATGAATTTCATAAGTATTTCTGTGAGCTATGAAAATTGCCACTTACACATAAATAAGCTTTTAAAAAAATCTGTTGGCCTTGCGAAATACGCTAGCATTATTAAACAAGTATATCAACATTGCTTTTTTCTTAAATGTTTTTCAATTACTTTGTTATTTAGAAGAGTGAACATTTATTTCCCTTTAAGAAGTATTATGCTCGATAAATAGGAAAATAAATAAAGCATTATGATTTCAAGCTCTGATTTAAAAATAATCAAGCACAAAACTTTGCAGTTAAGCTGGGTTTATCATGAAAAAAGTTTTACAAGATTGCAAAACTTTTTTAATAAATAAGAAATTAAAAATGAAAAGTTTAGAACTCATACGCTTTATAAATGTATAAAAAAACTTTGTGGACATAACAATCTTTCCAAGTCCACAAATCTTACATTTCCAACACTCTGCCTAAATTTCTTACTTTATTCATGTGCGTCATATTTCATGCGAAAAAAACAGTGAAAACTTATGAATATTTTAATATGCACCAAAACAATATAACAGGAATATTTATCTAGAAAGGAAATACGTGCTTTTCTTTACATAAGAAATAAATTCTTCTGTTTTCTTGAACTTGGAATTTAAGCTGTATCGCGAAGATCCATAACTGCATCTCCAAGTATAAACACTCTTTCAATAAATCAAAAGTTTCCGCATGATGCTTTTAAAATTGTGTTCCTGGAGATGAAGAAAACCGGAAAAAGTATTTGGACAGAGCAAATATTAAAATTGTATCTGAAGGCGAAACGATATTTTCCCCCTTTTCCGTCAAAAAGTAACTTTCGTAATGGTAGTCAAAACTGCATATATATATATATATATATTTAAAACTTGAAACCGAAATTAAATTTGAATACGAAAACAAATGGACAAATTACTTGTTCTCATTTTAAAGAAAGATTAAATTATATGCAAAAAAAAACTTAATAATCGGAGACTCATTAAGATTAGGATGGTATGTTTTTATAAAAACATCAAAAATATTAAAATTGCAAAAAAAGTAGCCAGCTGCAAATTTTTTAGGTTTTTGAATTATACGAATGAGTAACAATAGCATATAAGCAAATATACAAAATTTTTAAAAAATCTGTAACTTTTTAAGAATAATTTTATGAACATTCAATGGTAAAATTTATGTATCTAGAATGCAAAGTGAGCAAATTAAAAAATAGACAAACCAGAATAACTTTTGGTCAAATTATCGGATCTTCACGTTCTAGGACCCAATCTTAGTAGTTCGAGGAGGTAACCTCAAATATGCTAACTAATTAGTGCAGACGAGACTTTAAGTTACGAAATCAGACACAAAAACTTACCTTCTCTGAATAAACATAATTTTTTTCAACGGATTCAGATTTCTGACTCAACAAAATGTAGGCGGTAGCCACAATCTGCGAAATATGGTCCCCATAGCTTGGTCAGGAGAGCGATCCAAAGCTGGACCTGATAATGTTAATTTCATTTTTTGCGTATTTCGCTTTCGCCATATCTCGAGAATTAAAAAGTTCGAATTGAAAAATTTTTTGTTCACAATTATAAAATTTGCTTATTCAAAGACAATTCCATGCAAAAAATATATGTTAGTAAATATTTATTAGTTCTTATTATTTCATTTAATCAAATCAGAAAAGTTTCATTTGCAATAAGGTATAAAATTATTTATATCATTTTGAAATGCGTAATTTTGCATTGCAAAATACAAAATTCAAGC